CCGCCATGCCATGCCAAATCTTGTAGATATTGTGGGTAACAGATGGGTCCACATGGGACTAATTTTCTCCCATCAAAATATATCCAACATTTATCTTGTTTTGTTGACAAAATCATCGGGGAATGTTATGGTGCAAATTATTTGCAACCAGATACATAGTTTAAGAGATTGTGGTTTCAAGATGGTTAACCAGGAAATGCTGGAGGCCTGGAGCGTGACCCTGCTGCCACCTCATGCCTTCTCATGTGCAGCAAACAATGCCAAAGTCAGGCCAGCAAAATGCTTCCCTGACTACAAATTTGGTTGGGCCATTCCAACTTTTGGCTTCTAACCACAAGGTAGCCAAATTTCTCAGGCAGGCCAAAATTTCGGCTTGGCCAACATGATGCACACAAAAAAAAAGCCCAGTGTGATAAGAAACAAGGTGAGTAGTAAATGCTTATGCAGACTAACATTAGATATTACAGTAATTTTTGTGCTACTTTCATAAGATCTGTTCCTGAACTTCTAACATTCAAATAGTTTTAACACACTAAATGAAAAAGCTGACCTACATCCTAACATGTCAAATTTTAATCAGAGTAAGGATCTAATAATCCAATGTAGCTTCAGTGATGAATGACACTACTGGAATGCAAGATAAGCTACAAATACCAAGAAGAGTAGGCTTCTTTGCTCATCATCTTCACTCAAATCAAATATATCTGAGGAAGTGTCCTCAAAGACTCGGTACATAAATGTCCAATCGACCTATCTCACTGGAATGACAACAGGCAGTATATATACTTTGATCATACTAAGTAGCCTCGTTTCATCATAAAATAATTTACTATAGCACTGCTGTACATAATTCCTGTTCAACAACACACATTATACTTGTTATTATAGATAAAAAAAACACAAACATGATACCAAAAATTGCCGGGTCAAGATATTCCAGTGCAGACCTAAAAAGTAATTGATACTACACACTTTTCCATCAAATTGCACAGTACATCACCTGTGCCCCCGAAACAAAAGGCAGAAATAGAGCATCTTTGTGAATCCACCAACATACCGCCTATGTTGTCTCAACATAGCAGGTCCCAAGCCCTGGTAAAGGAGGAGACTTGTGATAGGCGTGGTGAGCCAATGTTAAATTTAGCCATTCTAATGGAGATGAAACCTGAAAGAAAACCGTTGGGGTGTAACCCTCTTAGCGACGCGCCATATCAGAACCCGGGTATGGTGTTAAATGGGCAAGGGCCGGGTCGGCACCCCCTTAGTGTCGCGCCGTGTCGCGATCTAGGCATGGTGAAGTGAGCAAGGATCAGGTTGTCGCTTCCTTAGTGGCGCGCTACATCGGCGCCCGGGTGTAGTGAAAAATGAGCAAGGGTCTTCACATCTGAGTCGACGGATGCGAAGGGTAAGGAAGCTAATCGAACCAGCTAGAATCCGTTTAGGTAGTTGGAATGTAGGGTCGCTTACAGGTAAGTTAAGAGAATTAGTTGATACCGTGACTAGAAGGCGTGTAAATATATTTTGCGTTCAAGAGACTAAATGGAAAGGTCAGAAGGCGAAGGAGGTGGACAATACAGGTTTCAAGCTTTGGTACATAGGGACAGTCGCGAATAGAAATGGAGTAGGAGTTTTGATTGATAAGAGCCTCAAGAATGGTGTGGTGGGAGTGAGAAGGCAAGGAGATCGGATTATCTTAGTCAAGCTTGTCGTTGGTGATATGGTCTTGAACGTAATTAGTGCGTATGCCCCCCAAGTAGGCCTCGACGAGAGTGCTAAGAGACAGTTCTGGAAAGACTTAGATGACCTGATTAGAGCCGTACCTAGTAGTGAGAAGCTTTTTATAGGAGATCTTAATTGGCATGTAGGTACTATAAGCGCAGGTTTCGAGGCAGTTCATGGAGGTTTTGGGTATGGTAGTAGGAATCAGGAGGGGAGGAAGTTTTGGACTTCGCGGTAGCTTTTGACCTGATGATAGTCAACACTTTCTTTAAAAAAGAGAATCTCATTTAGTGACCTTCAGTAGCGGACAACACTCTAGCCAGATTGACTTTGTCCTCGCAAGAAGAAAGGACAAAAAAGCATGCTTGGGTTGCAAGGTGATACCAGGGGAGTGTGTTGTTTCTCAACATAAGCTTTTGGTGGCAGACTTTCGTTTTCAGGTGCGTGCTCGTAGGGATAAACAAACTAAGATTGAAAGAACAAAGTGGTGGAAACTGAAAGGAAAGGGAAAAGGTTATCAAAGAGGGCTCTTGGAAGGAAGAAGAGGACATAAACAACATGTGGGAGAAGATGGCAACCAACATTCGGAAGGTGGCCTTAGAGGTGTGTGGTACCAAAGGAAGTGGAGGCGAGGCTAAAGATATTTGGTGGTGGAACGAGAAAGTCCAGAGGGCTATTAAGGAGAAGAAAGAATGCTATAGACGCTTATACCATGACAGGAATGTGGACAACATAGAGAAGTACAAAGTGACAAAGAAGACTACAAAGCGAGCTATAAGTGTGGCAAAGGGTAGAGCGTACGAGGATCTTTACCAACATTTGAGTACGAAGTAAGGAGAGAAGGACATTTATAGGATGGCTAGGGTTCGTGGGAGAAAGACAAGAGACTTCAACCAAGTTACGTGCATTAAGGATGAAAGGAAGCATCTCTTGGTGAAGGAGGATGAGATCCGACATCGATGGCAAGAGTATTTTGACAAATTGTTCAATGGTGAGAATACGGACACAACCTTTTAATTGGATGACTCTTTTGATGACACCAATAGGCGTTTTGTGCGGAGAATCCAAGAATCTTAAGTCAGAGAGGCGTTGAAAAGAATGAAAGGAGGTAAGGCGATGGGACCGGATGGTATCCCAATCGAGGTGTGTTGATACCTCGGGGACATAGCTATAGTATGGCTAACCATGCTGTTCAACCATATTTTTCGATCGAACAAGATGCCTGACGAGTGGAGGAGAAGTATATTGGTACCGATCTATAAGAATAAAGAGGATATTCAAAGTTGTACTAATTACCGGGGAATCAAGTTGATGAGCCATACTATGAAGCTATGGGAGAGAGTTATCGAGCATCGCTTGAGAGCAATAACGCGGGTCTCTATGAACCAATTTGGTTTCATGCCCAAAAGGTCAACCATGGAAGCCATTTTCTTAATAAGACAAGTTATGGAGCGGTATAGGGAGAAAAGAAGGACCTACACATGATTTTTATTGACTTGGAGAAGGCTTATGATAAAATACCAAGAAATATTATGTGGTGGGCTTTGGACAAACATAAAGTCCCAACGAAGTACGTCGGGCTCATTAAGGACATGTTCAGCAATGTTGTGACTAGTGTTCGATCAAGTGATGGAGACACGGATGACTTTCCGATTAGGATAGGACTACATCAAGGGTCAGCTTTGAGCCCTTACCTGTTTGCCTTAGTCATGGATGAGGTCACAAGGGACATACAAGGGGACATCCCTTGGTGTATGTTTTTCGCAGACGATGTAGTGCTAGTTGATGAAAGCCGGACATGAGTGAATCAGAAACTGGAGTTATGGCGAGAGACTTTGGAGTCCAAAGGTTTTAGACTCAGTATAACTAAAACTGAGTATATGAGATATGACTTCGGCACTACTACTCGGGAGGTGGAAGATATTAGTTTGGAAGGTCAAGTAGTGTCTAGGAAGGATACATTTCGATATTTAGGATCAATGCTACAGAGTGACGGGGATATTGATAAAGATGTTAGCCATAGAATCAAAGCGGGGTGGATAAAGTGGCGCCAAGCATCTGGTGTCCTATGTGACAAAAGGGTACCACAGAAGCTAAAAGGCAAGTTTTATAGAACGGCGATTAGACCTGCTATGTTGTATGGTACAGAATGTTGGCCTACGAAAAGACATGTTCAACAGATAAGTGTCGCGGAAATGCGTATGTTGCGTTGAATTTGTGGTCGTACAAGAAGGGATCGAGTTCGGAACGATGATATACGTGATAGATTAGAGGTAGCACCAATTGAAGAAAAGTTTGTTCAACACCGGTTGAGATGGTTTGAATATGTCCAACGAAGACCTCCAGAGGCACCGGTGCGTACTGGAATCCTAAGTCAAGATAGTAATGTGAAGAGAGGCAGATGAAGACCGAAGTTGACTTGGGTAGAGGCAATAAAATGATACTTGAAAGGATAGAATATACCCAAAGACTTGGCCTTAGATAGGAGTGCTTGGAAAATAGCTATTCACGTGCCTGAACCTTGATTGCTTCTGCTAGGTTTCAACTCTAGCCTACCCCAACTTGTTTAGGACTTAAAGGCTTTGTTGTTGTTATTGTTGTTGTTGTGAATCGACCTACAGACAGTTCAGATTCAGGTAAATTATTTCTTTCTTTTCGTTGGTTCTTCCAAACAACACAAAATGTAAACTATGAGAACTCAAAGTTAGCTATTATAGCAAACTAGAACCACCAGCATTCACGAAGTTAGTTAAATGTAAGTGTTTAGCAATGACATTTCAAAGTAGCACTTGCAAACTGTACTTATAACAAAATTCAAATCAGAAGGTATAGAAAAAACGGGATCATAATGGTATTAACAGTAAGCAAATTCAATGATCCCATGAGACAAAGGATAATCGCTTCCATGAGATCATAATGGCATTGCTCTTGCAATCTGTAGCATGAGTGGAGAGCTCCAATGCACAGGCAGGTAGACAGGCAGAGCCAATAGGTGCTAAATTAGGTGCTATGTGCTAGTGAGCAGGTGATTAAGTTTAGTGGTAAGTATCGATGCACACCAAACTGTACTAGGTTAGAATTCCGCAACTATACAAACAAACACAGATATCATAGTCATCGTTATAAACAAACAAACAGATCTCATTAAATAGGCATCGTACAAAACAATAAAATCTAATACACACATATGCATTGCAGCAACTCAGGGAAAAACAACCCTAAACACCAGCAAACAAACAATGAATGTAAGAATGTAGCACTCAAAACTTACAGGTAAGAAGCTACTGCGGCGGGTTCTGTCCAGGCTGCTGTGGACCAGGCGGCGGGGGCGGCATCCCTGGCCTCGGCTGTCCGAAGGGTGGCGGAGGCATCCCAGGCCTCATTCCAGGAGGTGGTGGCCCCGGCATCCCGGGCCTCACCTGTGGCGGACCCATCGGCGGCGGTCCCCTCATGAACTGTTGCGGTGCCCCAGGGAACGGAGCAGGCGGCGCACCAGGTGGACGGAACTGCATCGGCATCTGCGGCGGGATTCCATGACGCATAGGAGGAGGCATCCCCTGCGGTGGGCGCACGACCTGCGGGTAAGACACCGGCTGGGCCGACAGGTTGGGCATCGGCGGCCGCGAGATCTGGGGCTGCATCATGCCGGGGGCGGGTCCACCGACGCCGCGCACAGGGCCAGCGAGCCCAGGAGCTGCCTGGAGCAGCGGGCCGGTGGGCACACCGCGTCCCGCGGCGCGGCCGACGCCGGGGCCGGCGAGTGCTCCGCCCGCTGCCGCGGCCTTGGCGCGCGACTCGTCGGGCGGCGGCGGGCCCTCGACGGTCATGGAGACGACCTCCTCGCCGCGGAGGAGGAGGAGGCCGAGCGTGCGGCGCTCCTCGCGGTCGCCGGTGGTCTTGGAGGACTTGGAGGGCGGGAGGCGGCGGAACTCCTCGCAGTCGCCGAGGACGAGGTTCATGTGGCGGTCGAACGCCATGAACTTGCCCACGAGCTGGCGCCCGTCCTGGATCGTCACCCGCATGCGGTAGTTGATGAACTGGAGCATCTTGGAGCCCTTCGGGTTCGACATGGCGGCGTCGCCGGGTGAAGCGCGGCCGCGGCGACTAGGGTTAGGGTTTCGGCGAAGATGAAGGGGGGAGGAGGCGGCGGCGGGCGGGGTGAATATGAGAGAGGGTTTTCGAGGGGGTTTGTCCGTTTGGAAGGAAGTAGGTGCCGGAGGAGCGGGGCGTTGTCGTGGGCTTGTGGGCCTTTTGCAATGTCGGTTTTGTGTATGGGCCCGTGGGGAGAAGAATTGAAAGACATGGGTGCTTAGGCCTACTAGAATCTGATGATATAGTAGTTATAACAAACTCTTTTTGCTAAAAAAAAGTTATAACAAACTCTTGTTTATACCTTCTGATTTGAATATTGTTGTTCAATAATTTACTTACTTTTTTTCAAGTGATTGAGCACTTTGGATTTTTTTTCTATATAAAACTATTATTCTATATGGTATATACAATTTTCCAAAAATCTATTTTATGAACCGCCTTAATAATGTTTCAATAATTAGTTTTTTTCCTCAGTTTCATGTGGTTATGCCCATCCTTATGGTTGATTATATGAACTAGTCCATCAACTCATGCTTTTGCATGGTTGATTTTTTATTTACATAATCTTTCTTCTTTCCTCTCCCACCCCTTCTTCTACCTCCGGACTCCGATCTCCACCTCTCGAGCTCCGCCCTCGCCCCCTCGGTGCGCGTCGCCAGGCTACACCCTTTCACCTCGCACGCGGGGGCTCTGCCCCCGTACCTTGCTGCCTACTGACACTCACCCCGCCACGCACCCAGCCGGACTGCGTACGCCAGGCACGGAACCATCATCCGTCCTCGCCCGGCACGCCGAAGGCCTCTGCCGCTGCGGCTTGCCGCTGGCCGGAGTCTACCCCCTCCGTGCTTAGGTCCGGCCCCACCGCTCTGCGCTACGCTGCAGGACTCTGCCCCAGTTGCGTGCGAATTCGGCCCCTCCATGCCGCCGGAATCTGCCCAGTCGTGTGCGGGTCCGGCCCTGCCACGTTGCCGGCCTTCGTCCTCGTCCGATGCCTGCTGTGCCTTTTGAGAGAGAGAGAAAGGAAGGGAGACAGAGAAGAGACTGAGGAGAATGGGGGAGAGAGAACGAGCAAGACCATGAACGCCTCGTTTTTTTAGCAAGACAGGCGTGGAGTGAAGAGATAGACTTTTCTCTTTCCTGTCTTCTCTCTTCCACATAGGTAAACTGCTGATCTGGATTCCTATAAGCTAGCTAGAGTGGCACTGTTAGAGACGCCCTTGCACACTACAAGCACGAAGATTGATCCCACTTTTTATCGTGTGGGACCTATTTTTCTTGTGGCTCCACTTGCACACTGTGAAGGGCCTTAAGCCTATTTGGCGTTTTTTGAGCAGCTCCTGAAGCAGATTCAGGCACATCGCTATCAAATGGGGCACAACAAACAGCTCCCGGACAAAGATCTTGAAATCACACTGAGAGAGACCTGCTTAGAGGCCTGGCCCGTTTTGTGGTACACAATTAACTACACCAAGATTATGATACCCCCAATGAACAAGTATCGTGCCCTATCTTATCCGTACGTCCGCATAATAACTTAGGACATATTCTTCGATCTTATCTAAGTCAGATGCATGCTTTGTGCTACTACTTTGCAGAATCTACTGCACCGTCACCAATAAGTTTAAGACATGCAACAAAGTCGCAATGGCATATGAATCAGTTTAAGACATGCATCGAAATTGCTGTAAGTCGTTTTACATGCATATATCACATCAATGTATCGTTTGCTCCACAGCCCACAGTACTACACAGCAGCATTGCTTTCTGATTGAATATTAATTCAGGAAGCCTGTCGAATTCAAAGGACCAATCACAAGAATAAATAACAACCAAAATGAGTTGGCAGACTATGCAAGATCTTATACAATGCAATGCAAGAGGCCGGCCAATGTTGATGTCATTGAGTTCGAGAGCACTTAGCGTCTTCAAGCAAACCTAGCTAGGTGGTTTTGTAGTTTCCATATACATTTGCCATAACCAGTTGTGTGATGTCTACATTTTAGTTGTAAGTTGCGGAGTGATATTTTATTGTTAACGGCGACAATAAAAAAGCTTCAGAACCATGCTCATCGTTTTTTCTCTATAAGGGCATATATACTATACTATTAGAACAACTAAATTACATGAAGACACTCGACTGAGGACTGGACTGCGTCTCGAGGGAGGGACACATGGCCTGGACTCTTGAAGAGTGTTGGAAAATTAGAAAAAAAATATGATTAACTCCATAATGTAAACCATGACAAAATCATATAATTCTCCAACATATTAGTTTGAAACAAATAGGAACTATATCATAACACAAACGACATGCATAATTAAATAGTAGAACAGATCACAGTGCACGCACTTCTGGTTTTGCAGATGAAGTCGTGGTTGGTGTAGGAGTGATGACTTTGGCGAAGACTGGTTGGAGCAGTTGGCGATGAAGACGACGATACATGGCGATCGCTTGACTTGGATGGAAGATGGGCCACCACGAAGAATGCAAGCGGTTACGTGAGACGCTTTCCAAAAATTTTATTCACCCTCATGCGGTACATGATCACAAGGCCGAGAGGTTTTGGATACATGCTCTCGTGATTGTTGGAGCATGCAGGTGTTTAGGATGGAGAGACTATAGCAGTAGCGCAGAACAGAAAAGAGACAACACTCTAACTTAAATAGATGTATTTTTGGTGGCATTGATCTAGAAGAATCTCAACAAGCACTTGAAATAGCCTAAAACCGTGTTCGGCTGGCTGTCTGGCTGATTGCCGGCTGGCCAACCACCTCACAAATCACTATTCACGTCCTGCCAGAATAGTATTTTCCTCTCACAACAATCAGCCGAAAAAGTATTTTTCAGTCCTGCCGAACAGGCCCTAAACTAAATTAAGTAGAGCTGATGATATAAAAGAATTGGTCGAAGCGAAACTAGCACAGCTGGAAAACTGGACTTTGCCGAGTGCCTGAGACTTTGCCGAGTGCTTTTTATCGGGGCACTCGGCAAAGCAATATTTTGCCGAGTGCCGCACTCGACAAAATAAATCACTTTCGGCAAGGGCTTGGCTTTAGGCATCTGAAAGCCCTGCGGTAATAAAATCGGCTTGCCGAAAGCGCAAGCTTTCAAGAAAAGGTGGTCTGACACTTTCGACAAAAGGTGAATTCGACGTGGTGGTGACCACTGCCGTCAGATTTTGCCGAGTGGCTAACGGTTGGCACTCGGCAAATTTTTTTTTATTTTTAAAAACTTTTTTTCTCGAGTGCTAGCCCCAAGCACTCGACGATTTTTTTTAAAAAAAAACATATTTTGCCAAGTGCCAGCCCATGGCACTCGGCAAATTTTTTTTTAAAAAAAATATTTTGCCGAGTGCCAGAGATAGGCACTTGGCAATTTTTTTTAAAAAAAAAAACTTATTTTGCCGAGAGCCAGACCCAGGCACTCGGTAATTTTTTTTTATTTTTTAAAAACATATTTTGCCAAGTGTAAGCCTTGGGCACTCGGCAATTTTTTTTTAATTTTTTAAAACTTATTTTGCCGAGTGCCAGCCCCGGGAACTCGGCAATTTTTTTTTATTTTTGAAAACAACTTTGCCGAGTGCCCCCTGGGCCGGCACTCGGGAAAGTCCACTTTGCCGAGTGCCCCCCCATGGCACTCGGCAAAAAAAAAATTATTTTGGGCCCAAATTTTTTTCTAGGACCTTGTGACAGTATTTCAAACTCTATTTTAAAATTTGGGGCAATTTTTACTTTTTTTTATATATTTCATTAGTTTATTTCGTTTCGTCAAATTTTTCATGACATTTCAAATTTGAACTGTAGGTATATGGAATAATGGACTTTGGTCATCCAAAAATTGATACTCATGATATTTAGGGTATGTTTAGGCCGTATCCAGGAACTCACATGAAATCTCGAGGATCTCGTTGGCGTAACATGTCGAGGTACTTGCCAGAAATGTGATTTTAAATTATATAAAATGCAAACGAAGTCCGAAAATCACAAAACTTGTCGAGGCGTTGTGTTATCGCATGTGGAGGCTGTGGTAAAAAATTGGGAAGGTTTCGAGCAAGTTGTGACGTCGGATGCCAAAAACCCAGACATCTCCACATATGATCACTATGACTACAGACTGTCGGTCGTTATATCTCGTTTTGGCTACAGACTGTCGGTCGTTAATTCTATTTCACTTCAACGTTGAACGGTCGGTCGTTATATCATACTTTTAACGGCCCACCGCTCGTCGCCCAGTTGCTAGCCATATGTTTAGGAGGCTTTTTTCTCCAGGTACCGGTACTAAGCCGCTTTGCCATCTCTTCATCTTCATCTGCAAATAATTCTCGACGTGAAAACACAGAGACAAAGGCCTGATCTTTGAATAGGAAAAAGAATGGATCCGAAGGTCCCAAATCAATTGGCTTATTCGAAAAAAAGCCTTGATCTCGCCTAACTTTTTAACGTGGACACACCTGTCAGAAAAAAAATTGGAGCCCGCCATTCCAGCCCGCCAAGGCGCAACAACACATCAGCCCATTTCCCGTCTCCCCTGGGCGCTCACCCCAGTAACCCACGGTCCCTTTCCCCAAACCCCAAATAAGAAGACACCATACCCATGGCTCCAATCGAAGAAAAAAAACCACGGCCACCACCGGTCCCCGCTGACACGGAGCCGCCCGAGAGCGCTCGTCGTCGCCGTCGGCCGGCCGCCCTCACCGGTGGCCCCTAGCCTCCTCGCGCCTTTCGACTCGGCCAAGGTGGGCGGTGACCTCAGTCGCCCGTGCGTGGCGACCTCGATCCGGCGCGCTCCGTCGACGACCTCGGCTCGACGCCGTCTCTGTGTCAAGCATGGTAGATGAACTCAGCTCGCCCCTCCCTCCGCCCCGTCGGTGACCTTAGGTCCCCCCCCCACCACCACATCACGGTGCCCCACCCCTCCAAGTTGCTCTGCACCGCACCCCATCCCCCACCCCTCGGGGTCCTCCATTCTTCTGCAGGC